TAGTGGGCCTTAAGGACGGCGATGTAAGTAGGTCAGTGCTGCACTAAAACCAGTCCGTCAATCAACAACCACTGGACAGATTCACGTGTTGTCATGTTACATACATGTTGAAGCGCGCTAACTTTGATGACTTGCAGCACAATCAGGTCGACGTTTGTGGTTTGCAGAGGCGTGTTCAGAACCTACTGGCTGGACTGACGTGAGATTTCGGCAGTAAAGTGTGTCAGTAGCTTCGGTTTGTGACCACATACGTAGTTTAGTTACGTCGCTATGAGCATGAACGCACACTGGTGTTCAGTACCGCACACAGGTGCCAACATGGTTTTAGATTTCAGCTGAAAATACACGACTTAAAAAGCATTTACAAAAATCTGCCCTTTTAAAAAAAAAATTTTTTAAAAGAACAAATTACTTAAACTACTGAATTTCTGCTTTGTACCTCAGTGAAGATGGTTGGATCTCACAATAAGTTGCACCACAGCCACTAATGAATCTGTTCTTCCTCATAATTCTTTATTTTTACTGTAGTCTGCTTGTTTCATCGGATTTAAATCAGTGTAACTCGATTTTAATTCTCACTTCATGACCAAAGATCACATGACTGACGTCTGGGCCTGAGTGAAGCTTTCACAAACCAACGTGAGTGACTGCGACAGGGAAGCATTACCAGTATGATCTGTGTTGTTCACTGGCACTCCTGCTCGCAGCAGCTCCAACACCACCCTGTCCAGCCCGCTGCGCACCGCTCGGATCAGAACCACAGAGCCGTCTGGGCCACACCACTCTGCCGACTGCAAACACATTCACATAGTACATGTGTCACGTTTGGCCGTCTGTGTTTGATCTGTGCAGGTCTAACAAACAAAACTAATCTTCTATTATGTTCTTAAACAAATAATAAGCATTTAATAGAAAAAAATGAAACATGAAGCCAAAGTCCCAAAGATTCCTGGATTCTCACAACATGGAAAAATCAAAGACATGCTGTTAAGACGAAGGACGGACCTGCTGAGGAGGACTGAGCAGAGGAGGAGGCATGGCGTTCCTCTCCCATCCTCTAGGTGGAGCTGAGGGAGAACAAGAACCATTTAAGGATACAAGTAGGATAGTTTACATCTACTGTTTACCTTTATGCTGCAGAGGACACCAGTATGAGTCCTAAAACATGTCTTCCATCATGTGTGGCTCCATCAGTGTTCTAGTTTCTTGGGAAGGTTCCTCAGTGAAGTGAACCAGAGGTGGCAGCTACAGTAGGAACCAGCGTCAGTGCTCCCTCTGATATCTCCTTCAGCATATGAAAGGTAATAATACCGGCTTCTGTGTGGCAGCACCAGCAGCTTGACATCAACAACCTCCTACGTTTATGGATCCTGGTCTAAGTGCGATTCTCTGTCTCATGAACTCTCCTTCACATCTTTCCTGGACCTCATGATATTTTCCATTTGGGTCAAGAAAAGGAGTTTTGGAAAAGACATAGGATGTAATTTGACAGCTGCCCAGTCTCCTGTCTGCCACCTCACCTGTTCCCAGTTCCCTCCATC